CTTTAAATTTATTTCTTTAAGAAATACTCAGATGTACAGTAACTTATCCTGGATTACACAAGAGCAAAGCATAACACAAAGGATTAAGAGTGCATACTCTGGTGAGCACTGTAAAGGGGTGATGGGGACACAGGGGCCCTCATGCCACCGAGCACTAGGGAACAAGGCATGTTAAACACACAGGGCCCTCTTCTCAAAGGAGGAAATACATGTTTTCCACCCAGAAGGCTGGGAATGGATGTTGTTAACAACCTGTTAACCTTTTTGCTCTCTGTGGAGGCAGCCCTCCCCCCACAGCACTTATCCCAGCCTCTCCCCTTCGCAGACTGTCGTCTATAGCTCCCAATTAATAGCCCATCACTGGGGGAAAGGGACTGCTACATGTATTTTATGGCCCACTGACCTCGATGCTATCTCAGTCAGAGACCACAGTAGATTCTAGGCCCTTTACTTAGAGAACATGCCCTCACAGTCACATGTACTTTGTAAAGCAATTTCCAAGTCAGCATTTCTCAAACTATGGGTCATGACCCCTTTGGAAATTAACTAACCCTTTCACAGAAGCTACCTAAGACTATCAGAAATATCAGATATTTACATTATAATTCATAACTAACAAAATTACAGTTATGAAGTAGCAACAAAATAATCTTATGGTTGGGGGTCACCACAACATGAGGAACTGTATTAAAGGGCTGCAACTTTAGGAAGGTTGAGAAGCACTGCCCTAAGTCACACTTTAAGCTTTATTGTATGCCTAGGTTAGAATGATTGTTGCCTGGAAACCTTTTCCCAAATTGTTCTGTGTTTTAAATATTCCAGCAATGAACTGCCTGCCATCAGACTTCTCAAGTCTTGATTCAGGTTGACAAAATTGATCTAAACCAAGTTTCCTTTCTCACCTCTTGCCATATGGTTCGTGTCCCTGCCTAAATACCCACAGGTTCCCCCTCAATGGAGGAAGCACAGGCAGGGACAGGGGAGTCAGAGCAGGGAAGAAAGAGCCCATATAAAGATAATGGTGCGTGTGAGGTGCTGACTCCCAGAATTCAATCCTTCGTACTCACATGTTAGAAAGAGAGAACTGATCTTTGACGTCCATGGGCTGTCCTGAAGGATCATATCAAAGAAATGGAGAAGGTCTCCGGCAGAGATAATACAGCTCTAGACAAGGCTCCATTAGTCTGTGTCCACAGAAACTAGTTGCTATCAACAAAGAACAGGTAGCTAAAATAATAAGGCAGAAGGACAGATGAATCTGAAGTGGTTTGCTATAATTTAGTAATAGATTCTTACCATAGATTTAAGTGTGTAAGTATCCAACATACGAAATGAAGGCCAGGTCTGATGGCACAGCCTATACCTCAGCTACTTGAGCAGCAAAAGCAGGAGAATTCTAGGACTATCTAAACGATAGAACAAGCTCAGAGTGCGCATGACTCTGGCAGCACACTTGCCTAGCACATGTGAAGCCTTGTGTCCAATCCTGTACTGAAAACAGAGACCAGTAGAGCATGAGGGTTTTGTTCCCCTCCCTTCTCTGTGGGTACCAGTCATAAGCTCATTTTCTGTGCGTTACCCTCTTGTATGCAACCTTAACAGTCACATAGTAAATGAAGCTGTTGCTGTCAATGAGAGACGGTGTGTGTGATGTCTCATAAGGTGTCCTTAATGACATGGCCATCTTGGTTAGTATAAGTATATGCTGATATTTGGCAAACAACAGAATTACTCATTTCTCAGAATGTATACTTGCCATTTAGCAATGCATACCCGCACACTTATCTTTTTTTTTTTCCTCTTTAAAAGACACGGTGAGCTTTTTTTTAAGTGCTAGGAATTGAATTCAGGGCCTCACACATACACATTAGGAGAGTGCTCTACCGTTGAGCTACATCTCCAACTTCCTTACAAGATAGGAATCAGATAATATGATTCTGGATCTGTAACATGAGTTTCACTCATCTTTTGCTTGTATCCGGCTTGAATTATAACCTTGTCAGCAAGATGATTCTCCCCTATAGAAAGTATAGCAGAAAACAATCAACACTTACTGAATTGTTACCTGAATGTATAAGTAATGGTGTATTGTATAATTATAATTCTTGATTATAGAAGAGGAATTCTGGGGGCTAAAGAGAAGGCTCAGAGCCTAAGAATGCTTGCATCCTTTTCAGATGGGCCAAGTCTGTCCCAGCACCCACATCTGGCAGCTCACAACCACCTATAACCCCAGCTCTGGGGGATCTGACACCCTCTTCTGGCCGCTGAGGGCACCAGCATACACACACATAATTTAAAAGTGAGAATAAAGATTTTTATAAAGAGAAAAAGAGAAAAGAAAAATCCTACACTAGATGTAGTGGCACATACCTGTCATTCTAGGACTTGGGAGATAGAGGCAGGAAGCTTAGGAGTTCAAGGCTACCCTCAGCCTCAGAGTGAGTTCCAAGTCAGTCAGGTATAAGTGAGACTGTCTCAAAGAGGAGGAGGAGAGTGGAGTGGGGCAAGAGAAAGAAAAGAAGCCTGCTAAAAATTGGAGTGCAGTGGGCAAGATATAACAAAACAGAATTATGTTGTTAGACAGTTGTATAGCCATGGCTGCTAGATTCCTCTTCCATCCCATAATCAACACCTTCATACCCCCCAATTCAGAAGCAAAAATGGATGCTATACAGAGGAGACAAGAGCTCAAGTCTGTTGTTGGCAGACACTTTGGGTGGAAAACACAAAAGAGTCGATCTTTGTGCCAGGACAGAGAACGTTAACAGCTGGAGAAAGAAAGGAGAGAGAAAAGATGGAGAAAGAAGAAAACAGAAAATAGTAAAACGCCAAAGATGTGGAGCCTATCAATGGTTGCTGAATTAATTCCACACTTGCTAATATCCACCAGCTCATGTTAATATTGTCTGTTTAGAAATGACTCTAAGGGGCTGGAGAGACGGCTCAGTGGTTGAGAGCACTATTGCTCTTTCAGATGACTGGGGCTCACTTTCCACCACCCACATGACAGCTCAGAACTGTCTGTAGCTCCAGTCCCAGGAGATGTGATGTCCTCTTCTGGCCTTCATAGGCACTGCATGCACATAAGACACATACATTCAGGCAAAACATCAATATACACACAAATAACACTTTTTTAAGGAAATTACTCTATATCCTAGACATATCTGCTCCTGCATCAAGCACACATGCATGCTGCCATAGTTTCACCCCTCACCTGTACATATACATCCCATAATAACCTGGCAGTATGGTTCTCATGGTTCCTCACAGCTGACAGTAAAAAGGACACCTGACTCAAAGCAGTGACTTGTGACCCAGATAAATATAGCAGAAGTCCTAAGTTTCTCTAAGCTGTTGTCTTGGTAGTGAAGTTATTATACCTGTTTTAGCCATGTTAGATATTCTGCTTTTTAAGGGTTTCTGAGAGTTGTTGGTAGAAGAATCAGTAAGGCGAGAATTCACATTGTTCCTCCGTCACAGGGATTACTCACCGCTGCTGCTCATAACAGAATCTTAAAATGTTTAAGATTTCTGATGCAAATCAAAATCCCATCATCACTGTCATTGCTAAATTAAATGACAGGATAATAACATTACATTAAAACCATTTTTCTCTTGATTGAGTACCTTTTTCAGAAGTGAACCTTTTAGATGTATATTTTTTTCATCAGTACTATAAATGCATGTAGAATCCTAGATAAAAATAGCATTGAAGAGAGGAGGAGTGGGATGTTTTCACATTATTGATGAGTCTCTTGAATCTTGAGCATATTTGACAGTGCGGTGCTGGGGTGTAGAATTGTATCGTCTGATTTATTGACAGTTTTAGAAGCATATAGAGAGGCTCACAGGTTGATCTTAGTCTTTATTGAAACAAATGTGCATTCTGGCATTAGTTCACATCAACCCACTGCAAACAAACTGTTAGTGACCTGGAGGAATTGGCATTGTTCTGCTACTCTATTCTAGTATAATATGGTGCTCGTTTCAGATACATCATGGCTTATTAATGAATACAAACCTGTAGTCTCTTAAAACAGCACATATTCTCACCCAGTCTCCATTGTGAATTTACACTTGGCCTTTCCTTCCTATAGAAAGTTGACTCACTTTGGTCTTTCCCATCCTTGGCCCCCTTCTTTGTGGCCAGGCAGCCAATCCTCACTTCACTTGTCTGAAATGCCTACCATTCTGAAGTCAGTCATTTCTTTCCATACCCCAGAAATGTTCCTCAAATGTTTTAAAGTCATGAAAACCTTTACCTGAAACAAATCTCATGAAATGTTTCCCCCAGATAATACTGTCACCGTTGGCCATAGCATTATGGTGAAATCATGCTTATTCTCTAGAAACACCAATGGAAATGGGAGCTCAGAGCTGATAACTGAATCTGAGGGCCGAGTGGACAGGACAAGGGAGGCCTACTTTTATATGACTGCGATGTTCCATAATGAAACTTAAGCCCTTCCATCATTTTAAATATATGTTCTTTTTGACACCGTGCAGTATGCAGGACAGAGTCTGCTCCTGGCCCACCCTCAAGGAAACAAAGAGAGTTGTTTTAGTACCAGAGATCCCTGCTTCCGTCTCCTCTTCAGGTCCCACACTTGACACTCTCTAGAGTCATGATACACTTCCTGCTTCTTATTAAACTGGCAGAGAAGCCCGTACCCTTCTCTTCAGCCTGCCTGCTGAGTTCCACTGTGAGTAGTGCTCTGCTGTGGGCAGAGGACTATCCTGTGACTGACCCCAATGCAGTACAGACACCAGCTGTCATCTGCAGTGGGGCTACAGCACTGGAGACGAGAGGAATTCTCTGGAGGAGATGGGCTGTGTTATAGTCCAAGCTGAAAGGAAAGGCCATCTTCCTGACAGCTCATGGCTTTCTCAAGAGTAATCAGAGCTCTAGTAGATAACCTTCCCTGGTCTCTCAAGAATGTACACTGATTGCAATTACCAACATGCTTTGTTTTCTTCTCTTTAAATTATAATAGTCTTACTTCTCGATTGCCAAAAACTGGAGAAACCATCCATGGACATAAGTTTTTTATTGGCTTTGGAGGAAAAGGCGCCAACCAGTGTGTCCAAGCTGCCCGGCTTGGAGCAAAGGCGGCCATAGTCTGCAAGGTAAGCCCTATTGCATTGGGAAGGGGACCAGGGGCTGGTTCAAGCTCATTGTTTCTGTTTTCCTTCACAAGTATATAATGAACACTACTGGGAATAGCGATGGGTACCTGTGGTACCAGCTGTTCATGATGCTGAAGGTCAAGTTCAAGGCCAGCTACATAGTGAAGCCCTGTCTAAAGAAATTTTAGTAACACTTAGTGATCTGTAATGTTTAGCATCTACTGCTTCTAGCCAGTTACAGAACACCATCACTCCAAAGGAAAACCTCTTGTCCATTTTTTTTAATAATTTATTTTTTTAAATCAAATCATGATTTTTACTTATTCACACAGGGGTTATAAAGGCAGGACTTGGAGAAGGGGATGACACTGGAGTGTGGGTGTTCAGGGGGAGTACAGATATCTTTCAAAACAGGGTATTGGCTGGGTGAAGGTTCAGGGGACAGGTCACTATGACTCTGCCTATGATTCACTTGTCCTTATCTAAGTTGGCATTATCCGCCAAGGCTACCTATTTACAAGGTCTATGACTACTCAGGCTGGTAAATTTCCACAAGAGCTGCCTGTTTACAATAGCTTATAGCCATCTGTTTCAATGTTTTTCCACAGAGACCCAAGACTTGGTGTTAGTATACATGTATGACAGGCCTATTGCTGGTTTTAGGCCTATGGCTGATTTTAGGCCTTCAGTGTGTAAGCAGGGCTGCCCCTGACATCTCCTCCCTTCTCTAAGTATAGAAGGGCTATGGCAATTCTAATCTTGCGAAGGCAGCGATAGAGGCCTGACCTCCAATAATTGAAGGGGACCTTGTAATTGCTCCGGTCCCCCTGTCGTTGTCAAGTGAGGCATGAAGGCCATACCCATCCTGATGTCTTTTTCCTGGAGAGGGGATGCTTTTGACATCAACCTCTATGCAGTCAGGCTTGTCTCTCAAGGAATCCAGAGAGATATTTTTAACTTTTATTTATATTCCCTTGTAGTGCTTAGCCTCGCAGCCTAAGCAAGAATTCAGATCACCAGTCAGAGGGGGTTCTGGGTGGCCCCTCTCTGCTTGGTCTAGGGGCGGAAGTCCCCTCTTTTAGGTTGGGTGGAGATGGGTTTTAGGAACACCCTGGATATAACAATCTCATCTTGAGTCTCTTGGTCCTCCATAGCTAACTTATGGTAATGTATCTGAATAGGTTTTGCTACCAAATTATTTCTCTGCTGTTTCACAAAGTTAGTCAGCCTATTTAAGGCCCAGGCACCAAAAGAAATAAACAAAAGTAACCCAATTAATAGTCTCAAGATGGGAGGAAGTAGGGTTGACAACCATGGAGAGGCTGAAAGCCAATTCTTGTACCAGCATTCATCTGTCTCTTTCTTTCTCTGATTTTTCTTAGGGCCTTCTCTGATCTTTTTCATGCTCTCTTTAACTATCCCTGACTTGTCTATGTAAAGGCAACATTCTTCTTTAAGGGCTGTACACAGTCTAGAGCTATACACAGTCTCTTCTATTGTAAAAGAGTAAATCAAGTCCAGTAAAGTCCTTTGAAATTTTTGGAGGTCTCTTCAGACAGCGAAACGAGGGACTTCTTCAGATTAGTGACTTCAGAAGTCAATCTCTAGCTGTTTGATCCTCTTGTCCATTTAAGCAATTTCTTCCCAATTCCTGTAGCCAACAGTCTACATTCTGTCTCTATGAACCTATTTATTCTGGATAGTTCATATAAATTGGCTATGTAATGTGTGACTTTTGCTTCTGGCTTCTTTCACTGTTTTTGAGGCTCCTCTATTCATAGCATGTATCAATATTACATGTTTTTAGTGCCTAAATACTATACCTTTATGTGGATACCTCTCCATCAGTAAGTGTTGCTAGACTCCTGGACTGTGCCTACCTTTCTGACTGTTTCTGAGTAGCCTATAACTATGCATCCACATGCACCCCTCTGAATATCTGCTCTTAACTCTTTTGAAGGTTTGTTTGTTAAAAAAAAAAATCTAAATAAGAGTGACTAGGCTTTCTTTTGCTTTGTATGAGTTACTCTATCGATGAATCCTCTGGGAAGCAGCAGTCCTCAAACAACTTGATGCTGCATTCCCAGAATCCGATGAGCTTATAGCCAGAGCATACAACATGAGAGGACTTAACTTGTTCCCTGGGAGTATACAGTCCAACTTCTAAACGGCCTGAGTCATCCTGCAGTCAGAGGGCCTCAGCAGCAGAGCAGCTGAGGAGACAGCCACTCCTCACTAAGCCTCTCGTCATTTCTGCTGGACCAGTAGTGCTAGTGGGATCCAGGTTGTAATGACCATACAGAACTGATCCTTGGCGTACTCCTGTTTCCAGTCATATATAGAAAGGGCATGTAACATTCGGTAATCCTACTGAAATAATCTGGAAATAATTGTATTTGGCTGTCAAACGTTTCCAATTGTCTATATTTCATGTCATTTGAAGGTGGTAACATTCTGTTATAAGAAGGTAAACTTGTGTGAGTTTAAGTACAAGGAAAGTTGAGTTTCAATCTGACCAGCAGAGGATAAGAAAAGAAAAAAAAATCCTTAGAAAAGCTGTTGGCTCTTGTGAACTATGTAGAAAAAAAAAATCTGCAGAAATGTCATTTCTACGTTCTCACAGCACGTTCTCTCAGTGGGAGCCTCTAAGGGTATGTAAGCCATACAATTATCGCTTCATCTGCTAATGAACTATAGTTTTATTTCTCACTCATGACCAGCATATCTTTCTCATGGCTGTTTGGTCAGAAACATCACAGGAAAACAAAATTCAAAATAAGAACCACCTCTGTTGTTAAGATTGGTCCTTAGGGATTTAAAATAGTAATACAGCCAATCAGAGAATAATTGTATTCTAGAAATGATGGCACCATGAGAGGGCACTGACAAACAGTTTTACACCTGACTTCTCCTGTCCTTCATTAGAGGTGAGATCTAGGTAATGACCCAGTGATGCTCACAAAGGGGGCTCAGACACTTGGAAGAAGATAGGCTTTCCTGGCAGGAAAAAGCTGGTCATAGAATTGGTTTGGGAAGCTAGGTATCCAGAGTGGCTGTCCTGGGGCAAGGGGAGCTCCCTGAGACTGGGAGTAGAAAAGACAATGGAGCACCCTCCCTTCTTGAAATCTGTATGCAAAGTATTCTTGCAGCCACTGAAGGCAAGAATCGATGGGCCCGGGTTCTCATTCTATTCTTAAGATTTTGAGATTGTTTTTATTTTAAGTCTATAGGATGGATGGCAAAGATAGAAAAACAAAATAGAAATAGAACTATTTGAGTTGTAGAACTGAACTGGGGAAGTGAGACCTGAAATCATGTGATGGATGTGAGAGGAACAGGGAGGGGGCTGTGCTCGAGTCCTGAGGGTGGTCGAGGCTGTCTGCCTCACTCTGCTTGGTGGATGGATGGCTCCTGCCAGCACCTCATGCTTCCAGAGCATCTTCTGCGCTCTTTTCATCATCCGCGTTTGCTCCACACAATGTGCTCCTTTGCACAGGAAAACATAAGAAAAGTGATTTCAAGTAAAGCCTGCCCAGGATAAATTTGCTTTTGTGCCTTGGGACCCTAAGGCAGAGATTTATTTAAAACATTAAATTAAGAAAATTGTGTGATGTTCTTAGTCTCCTTGTTTCAATTTATTTTGGTGTTGGGGAAGGAACACAGAGTCTCACAAATGCAAAGAATGCCTTCTGCCTCTAAACTTCACCTCTAACTGGAAACTTCTCTTATTAAGTGATTAATATAGGGTTTCTCTTTGTAGCCCCCATTAGCTTCCAAGTCATAATACTCCTGCCTTGATCTCCTGACTTCTGGGATTATAGGTATGTGCTTCTTAGAGTTCTTAAAGAGAAAATAATAGACTTTTATAGCAAAAGTTATCCAGCATCATTATAGCTTACACTTTGTAGTATTGTGTTGTGTTATCCTGTGTTGTGTTTCTTTTTGGTTGTGTGAGACAGGGTTTCATAGCCCAGTGTAGCCCACACTGGCCTTGACCTTGCTGTGTGGTGTAGAAAGCCCTTAATTCCCCCTGCCTTCACCTGGCTAAAGCTGGGCCACAGGTGTGGGCCAGCACGCACAGCTTACAGTAATAGTCTTGTCAGACAAATTAGCCACACTTGTTTTTTAGCAGTTTTTTTTAAAGATGAAAAGTTCCAAATCAAAACCCAAATCATTACATTAATCAAGATAAAAATGAACAGATGGAGGAAAAGAGAAACTGGTAGAGAATCCCCTGCCATTCTCTACGCAATGCTAACTTCTGTTCTACTGTGACACACGAGCTATCAGGCTCTGACGGGGAAGATGGGTGGCACTGGCAGAACCATGGAGGAGTGATTTGTTAAGGTCATCGTGACAAAAACAGTAAGCAAGGTTCTGTTAGTGTTTATACTGTGACTTTGTACAGTGGAGCACTCTACAAAGTTAAGAATTGTGGATTTGGTATTCAGCTGAGTCATGTGTCCAGGCTAATGTCCAGTGATAACTGAAGATGGTGTTTTTGAAAAAGAAAGTCTTCATCCCAAGGCAAATGGCCTGCCAGGGCCTCTCTCATAGATGATGCGTGCAAATGCTTTCTCCACTTGTATTCCATTGAAGCCAAATGTTTATGAGGAGGAAGTTCTTTCTGAACTTCAAACCCTGGCAAATGCTGGTAATCCAGCACTCTGGAGAGTAGCAAAGAGCCACCATAAGTGTGAAGCTGCCCTCTCTAGCCTGCATACTGAGACCCTGTCTCAAAAATAGCAGGAAACTAGAGATGGTGCAGTGTGGCAAGCATGAGGATCTGATCTCAATACATAGATCCTGTGTTTAAAGGTGGGGGCAGTCTGGTGTCTATGTGTACATGTGTCAGCCCAGCACTGGAGAGGCCAAGGTAGGAGGAGTAGAGTTCACTAGCCAGCCTAGTCAAATTGGAGAGTTCCAGGCCAGTAAAAGAGCCTGTCTCAAATATCAAGGATAGTGCCCCTAAGGGATAGCACCTGAAGTTGGCACATTCATTCACCCACACATACACACATGAACATTCATACATGTCTTCACCCTCACAGACACTTATGTGCACACAAAAGAAGAGAAAGAAGAAACATCAAACATGGCAGCTAAGAACCATGCCAAATAAAGAGCCCAAGATGCCGGGACTCAGTTGTGAGCCCACAGCTGCTCCCTGTGTAACAGCTGCTCCCTGTGTGGATGAACAGAAACCACAGTCAGACCTGAGCCTCATTGACCAAGCCAGGAACCAGCACACTAGGGTGATCTGAGGAAATCTGAGGAAAACATGGTTTTGTTTCCTACAAAGGTAAAACTGTCTCACCTCTAATGCAGGTAGCACCTGGTTCCCTTCAGGAAGGTCAGACAGGAAGTCCAACAACAAAGGACACAGGAGATTAGGACAGTACAACTCAAAAGCCTGTGTGTCAGCCCAGTGCTGTGCTCAGTCTGTCCCTGGTCTAGGCAGTACAGAAACCAGGAGTAAACAGAACAATTCATAGTGATGAGACGGTAGATTTTTACAGTCGCTGAATTTAGCTGCAATAATAAACAAGGCTTTGTACTTTATGATCCTCTTTTTTATTCTATTGGATTGTTTCAGTATTTTACAAATTCGTAATCCACACTATGAGTAAACAAGGAAAGCAGTAAGGGCAGGAAGACTTGGTGTAAGAGAGCTTGAACAGCAGTGTATGCGCTCCTTCATCACACAAGACCCTCCTATGCAAGGGCCTTAGGTCCTGTGACTTGCCCTGTCGTAAACCCTCGTTGGAGCTGCCCTTGACCCGCCCCTTTGAGCTAGAACAGACTCACACAGATAGAACTGCCTCGTATTATGTACAATTTCAAGAATACTGTCTGCAAAACAAGAACACTGTTATAAGCAAAGCCTTATCTGCAGCTACAACATAGCTCCTATGCTCAGGGTCATATCCCTTCAGAAATAAGATAGGCTCAAGAAAATAAACTGGAGAGTACCTAAGATGATATGATACTAACTGGACACTTATCGGTCCTTCCCTGTGCAGTGCTGCGGGAAGGACCGATAGATCTCCGGCTAGCCTTCCTTCCGAGCTGTAGGAAGCCTCAATGGACAAATACCGGAGTTGCAGACAGTGTGAGATGGCACTGGATTATGGTAGCAATCAGGAATGCTGTGTAGGAGTTCTGGAAATGAGAGGAAAAATGAGAGCCAAAAGAGGGAAGGTAGCCATAAGTCGGTGCTTGAAAAACAGGTACAGTGTGAGTAGGTGGAGAGAGGAAGCTGGGCAGTGGTGGCACACGCCTTTAATCTCAGCACTTGGGAGGCAGAGGCAGGCGGATTTCTGAGTTCGAGGCCAGCCTGGTCTACAGAGTGAGTTCCAGGACAGCCAGGGCTACACAGAAAAACCCTGTCTCGAAAAACCACAAAAAAAAAAAAAAAAAAAAAAAAAAAAAGACTCCTACGTTCTCAGAAGTGAAGGCAAGGCAATAAATAAACATGAACACATGTCCACACATCATGTCCCCCCACAGTCAAGTGATGAGGTCAAGTTAAAAATGACTCTACTCACAACTCCAAAAATGAAATCTAATTATTTTGGCCAAATGTGAATTTTAAAAAGCAAACAAACAAACAACAACAAAAAGCCCAAGTGGTAACAATCCTGCAGCCCTTCTGAGCAGGGTTCAGCAAACACAAGCCAAGGACATCTCTGTTGCTCTACTGTGTCTTCATCTCAGTGTTGGGTCCAGCCTGGCTGCCCTAATGGGCTTAGCTGATCTACCTATGGAGCATGCCCAGGACTCCGAGCTCACTGTCAGCTCTCATTCCCGTCTCTTAGACATACAACTTTCCAACCCACTCCCAGCCTTTGATCCAGAAACCCAGCAGTCTTCCACATGGACCACACACCGGACTCCCCTCCCTGCGCTGTTCCACCTGCGTGCAGAGTGTGCTGGAGTTGGAGTGTATGTGACCAGAGCATCGGGATGTTTAAATGTATAGCCAGCATTGAATCATTGGTTCCTGTCTTCGAGAGAGCGCTCACACCAGTTCTCACCCTCCAGCCTGACTCAGATGGAACAATTTGAGGCAAAATGCAAAGAATTTTAATTAGCTTGATAATGGCAGAACTGCAAGAAGACTCCAAGCTCCCTGACTCCCATATGCACCAGCTGCCTCCTGGCCAAGATGCTTACATTTAAATTTCTCTTGTCAATTTGATGGCCAAAGTATGACTGGGAAACAGAAGCCTCCCGATATTCCTTTGTAATAGTCTTTATTAGGCCCATTATCCTCTGTGAAGATCTCTGTATTATTCACTGTGCTCAGTGGCAGGAAGTAGTCAAAAACCTTTTCAAAGGTTCTACCGTGACTTCTTTACAATTTCTAAGAACTTCAGTTTGAGTGCGGAAATAAACAGAATGGATTAAGAAGTGTGTGCTTCAAAGGCTGGAGGGGGAGGGGAGACAAGGCTTTGTAGTACCCCCAGACAGTCCTTGACTTTGTCTTCATCCTGTTTTCACCTACCAAGTGCTCAGGACACTCCACCATGCACAGATCTCACACTTAGTTTAACTATCTTGTTAATTTGTTAAGATGATATTATATTCCCTTTCCTCCCGCTGAACCTTCCCATAAACCCCTCTGACCAAGTTCATGACCTCTTTTTTCATTGTTTGTACATACATATATGGATATGTGTGTATGTATATATATGTGTGTGTGTGTATGTGTTCTTAAATTCATAAATGCAGCCTGCTCAGGCTGTATACTGTTCTTGTATGTATATGTTTTCAAGCCTGACCATTTGGTATTGGATTGGTTAATTATTGTGCTCTTCCTTGGGGAAGACTATTTTTCCCATTCTTAATAGTTGTCTCTAATTCTTTCTGTAGGTTTAAGGCTTGTGGGCTTTTCTGCATCCATGTTAGCATGAGATCTTAACCTTTTTAGAAGTAAGTCCAGAAACATGAATGAATGGTGAATGCATACATGATTAGAAAAGACCAATTTAAAACAACACAGCTTTGCCTGTGCTGTGTGTACCACTCATGTGCAGCTAGCCCTGCCTTCAAGAAACTGATACTGGGCTGGAGAGATGGCTCAGCAGGAGGAGCACTGGATGCTGTCTCAGAGGACCAATACCCAATTCCCAACACCTACAAGACAGACAACTATTTGCAACCTCTGTTCCAAGAGATCTGAAGCCTCTTCAGGTCCTCTCAGGCACCAGGCTTGAAGGGGGTGCACAGACATACATGCTTCATGCTTTAGGTGGAATGTAAGTAAAACAGGGTTAGAGAACATAACCATCCTTTGGGCTGAAATATAGTCCAACATCTTACATTAAGATACATTAGTTAGTCTTACGAAGTACCATGCATATATGCCCTTTTAAAATGCTAAATACTCTAAAAGCTACATTGTAACATTTTACTAAATGTAAAAGATCTAATGTTCATCATTTCTTTGATACAGGTTGGCAACGATTCCTTTGGCAATGATTACATAGAAAACTTAAAACAAAATCATATTTCTACAGGTAACATTTCATCTTTTTAAAATTAATGTTTATAACTTTATGGAATATACATATATACATACACAGACACACACAGAAATATATATATATATATATATATATATATATATATATATATATTTTTTTTTTTTTTTTTTACTTTTTTGAGAAAAGGTCTTGCTATCTAGCCTTGGCTCACCTGGTAGTCACTACGTAGCCTGTACTGGTCTCACACTCAAGGCAGTCCTCCTGCCTTAACCTTCTGAGTACTAAGATTACAGATATGTGCTACCACACCTGGCTTATTATTTATAACGTTCTTCTGTGATCCTGTTATCAGGGAAATTGAGAGCTAAGTAGAATTAGTAGCTCCTGCCCTGGTAGCCAGAGAGGCTGTAAGCACTGCTTTGTTTAATTTCTTCATGGACAGTCTTCCAGACAGGAATGAAATCACTGGAGGTTACAGATCTTCATTTAATGGCCAAGAGGCAGGTGACAAGAAAAACACAGGTGCTATATAAAGGATGTTTTAAGAAAAATCACTGAATGATATAGCCGAGGCCATCATAGAAGCTGCCAAGGCTGAGAACATAATCACAGAAAAGGAAAGCAAAGGTTCTGGGGCTTTCCCAAGAGCACACAGCCAGCTGGAGCCCAGACTGGAACACAGGGCCGCTGCCTCCAGCGAGAGGCTGTCTGCCGCTGTCAGAGCTGCCTGGCTGACCAGCGTCTGTCTCCATGCCAGACCACAGTTCTGGATGAGACCAAACGCTTATGAAAATGAAGGAAATCAAACAAGTTCATTTTATGTGTTTAACCTTTTGTTTTTTATCTCAAGTCTGTCATTTTTTTACACTGAGAAAAGAAATATGTTGTTCTAAAAAATGCATATATATACAACTATGAATAATTTTGTGGAGTAAAATGTGTGGGTAGTCTGATGGGTTGTTACTAATGCAAAGGAAAGGTGCCACTGGTGTAAAGATGCCCATTTCCTCACTGGATAGGTGATGGGTATAAATTAGCACTAATTACTTACTTTTTTAACTCATTCCAGATGGTTAAAGGTTAAAAAGTTTTTCCAAGAATTAGTGTCACATAAAAATTGTTAAAATAAATTATCCATGCTAGGCTGTATTACTCAATTGTGGCTTTCTTTTTTCTTGTAGAGTTTACATATCAGACCAGAGATGCAGCTACAGGAACAGCCTCCATAATTGTCAATAGTGAAGGTATGTGCCTCACGTAGAAAAGCCTCCACCTGGAACAGACTGTATGTTCCAGAACTAGATTGTTTCACCCCAGTCCTACCAGCCTCACCGCACCCACTGCTCCAAGTAACATTTCCCTTAAATTATATTTTCCTCCTGGATCATTTCTAAAATGCTCTGCCTAATATAGGTAAAGCGCAGTAGATGCTTCCAATGCAATCTGTGTCCTATGGCGGCGTCCCCTTCTCCCTTCGTGTGTGTGTGTGTGTGTGTGTGTGTGTGTGTGTCTCAAAACAGTCAAGTACTCACCTGCCACTTCCATTACACTTCCTCTAAGTAAGTAAATGGAAAAGAGTGCAAAACAAAGCTTGACGAGTCGTATTTATAGATTACTTTCTGAGCAAATGGCAGCCAGTAATTACTGCTAACTTATCATTAGTGTTCAATCTTGTCTGCTCTTTAAGCCACAATCAAACCTCAAAAGTCAGTGTACATAGTTCTGCCATGAGGCTTTACCAGAGTTAAAACATTTACCTTTAAAAACAGTAACTACAGCTGTGTACCGTATCACATCTCTGTGAGTTCAAGGCCAGCCAGAACTACATAGTGAAACTCTGTCTCAAAACAAGAAACAAAACACAACAGTAACTACTTTCAAGTTGAGGGGTCCTAATCAACCAACTGTTCTAAGTGTAAAAATATCTACATTGGGTTTTTTATTTTAAATTCAGGTCAATATTCAGAAAGATGAGGCATCTCTTGGGTATGTAGGATAGAACCTAATACATTTTGTGGGCTGTGTTAGAATCTGTTGCAATATGTCTTTGATTTATACAGTGGTTCTTTCTTATCCATAGAGTAATACAATTTAAGACTGCCAATAGTCCTGGTCTCTCTATACAGTGTTTTTTTTCTTGTATGTATAGCCTTATGATGAAATTTAGTTTACAAATTAGATCCTGTAAGAAATTTACGCTAGTAATAATAAAACGGAATGATCATAACAACATAGTATAAGAAGTTTTCTGTCAGTATAATCTACATCTAAAGATCTATGGCCTGCATGCAGCTTCCTTGTGGTAATTGAGATGAAACAGCCCATACATGATGAAATCAAATGAGGTGAAGGCCAGGCGTTCTGCTCTGGCCTTAGGATGCTGTGTAGGGGTTAGCATGAACACAGGACTGCAGTATCTAAGCAGCTCATCTGATCATCAGGAGGGTCACACAGGCAGTGTATATATGATATGTTGGATAAAACAGAGACTCACATCCCAAGTGAGACAGAATCGGATGGCATGAGATTTCACTGTGATACCCAGAAAAGCATGCAGTGTGAAACACGTTAATTTTTTCATTTCCTTTAGTATTTATACATAATATTTAATACTTTTCCACTTAATATGTTGACTACATATATGCTTTTTCATGATGGGAGTTATTTGTAGCCTAGGCTGGTGTTGAACTCACTGACAGTCCTGTCCAGCCTTCTGCATGTTCTTTGGGGGTTTGTTTCTTTGGTTGTTTATTTGTCTGTTTTGGGATTAAAGTCTCATGCATTCCAGGGTGGCTTTGCATTTCCAATCCTCTTGCCTACGTCTTTCAGGGACTGGGATCACAGGTATGCCTCAGCATGCCAAGTTTCTGCAGTGCTAAGGGCCAAGCCTGCATCTGTGTGCCAAGCAAGCACTCTGCCAACTTGAGCCTCATCTCTAGCCCCTTACAGTGCACTTCTGCATGAGCATTTTAAACTCAACTCAGCAATCTAAAGTTGCAATAGCAAAGACACTAGGTTACGTTTTCATTCTGCTACAGAATGAAAACTTATCAATCATATATAATTACTAATCATATATAAATCACTATGGATAACATAAAAAATATAATGCAGCATTTATTATATTGAGCTGTGTTGTCAATAATGATCACTGCCAAAGGCAGGTCATTTCTGACCTTAAACAGCGTTATGTTCTAGCAATGACTTCAGTTCTTCCTTCTTCCTTTCCTGTGAACCAAAATGTCTGTTATGGGAAGCCACACCTGGCATATGTAAGGGAATACCCTGGAGTACAGATTGTGCAGGACATGGCATCCCAAGTCTATAATGCCAGCACTCAAGAGACTCACACAGGAGGATTGCAAGGAGCTCACAGCCAGGCTAGGCTACGGAGTGAGACTGTCTGAAAATAATAATAAATATTGAGGAACTGAACAATCAGCTCCTTCAAATGAAGGCAAGCATGCCGACAAAGTGATGAATGCTACTCTGGCATGTCAGACTTAAGGCATGACTGAGCTAGCCACATGTCCATGGCGGCTTTGTCTGTGGACAGCCTTGCTCTCAGGCTTGTCGTGCAGCCACCAAAGCCCATCCAGAAATGCATATTACGTCATGCTACAGTTGACTCCAACTGAGAGAATGAGCTCACTGCTGGGAGAAGGAAGGAGAGATGCAGTCTTTCAGCAAGTGGGCTCCTTGCATTTTTCCAGGTCTGAGGTCGGGTTTGTGTGGAACCAGCCCCACTTTATTAAGTTTTCCTCATGGCCAACAAACACACATGTGGTAAGATGATAGGCTAAGATTTGTTCTGTGAGGAGAGGTAATTTTAGGTCATGTCTATACAAGATCTTCACAAGCAGCCTCAAGCACTAAAAAGTGCCTGCTGCAACTCATTCCTTTAGAGCTGTGCTGTCCAAGAGGAATAAAATGTAAACCACATGCAGTTTTTAAATTGTCCAGGAACCATGTTCTTAAAGGAAAAAGGGAAATAGGTAATTTTGACAACATACATATATACTTATATATATGTATGTGTATATATAATATATATCCAAAATATTATCATTTCAACATGTAATTAAATTTATTTTAGAATTGAGGTTTTTTAATATGTTTTTTTAAAAATTAGTGAGGCCAGAGAGATGGCCCAGCAGGTCAGGATGCCTGCTGCCAAGCCTGTCAACATGACTGGATCCCTAAACCTACATGATAGAAGAAGGTTTGTTCTGACCTCCACATGTGTGCTGTAACACACACATATCCCAATACATACAGACACATAAATAAATGTTTAGAATAGTACAGTAGGGGATTGGAGAGATGGTTCATTGGTTAAAAGTACTTACAGTCCTTCTAGAGGACCCAGGTTTAATTCCCAGCACCCACAGTTAACAACTATCTGTAACTGTAGTTCCAGGGAATCTGACACCCTCACACAGACATGCATATAGGCAAAGCACTAATGTACATAAAATAAAAGTAAATACATCTTTAAAAAAAATAATGAGCTATGTTGCATCCTGTTCTTTGTACTAAATTTGAAGCCCAGTGTGTATTGACTTTTGTCTTAGAGTTTTACTGCTGTGAACAGACACCATGACCAAAGCAACTCTTATAAGAACAACATTTAATTGGAGCTGGCTTACGGGTTCAGAGGTTCAGTCCATTATCATCAAGGCAGGAGCATGACAGCATCCAGACAGGCGTGGTGCAGGCAGACCTGAGTTCTATACATCTTCATCTGAAGGCTGCTAGCAGAATACTGGCTTCCAGGCAGCTAGGAAAAGGGTCTTATAGCCCACACCCACAGTGACACACCTACTCCAACAAGGCCACACCTTTTAATAGTGCCACTCCATGGGCCGAGCATATACCTTAAATGCATCTCAGTTCAGACTAGCAGTAGTTCAAGTGTCAGTGCCACATATAGTATTACGAATCTAATAGTGGACAGCACACCTCCTAAGAGTTCATTTTCCAGGGGCTACAGAGATTGCTTGGTCACCACAATACTTTGGAAGAACTTTTAAGTCCCCAGAACCCACAAAGAAGAAGGAAGAGGATAAGAAGAAAAAAATAAGGAAGAGGAGGATGAAAAAGAAAGGAGGGAGGGAGGGAAGAAAAGGAGAGAGGGGAGGGAGAGAGAGAGAGGGAAAAACTGGCCATTAGAGCATATGCTTGCAATCCCAACTCTGAGGTGGCAGAAACAGGAAGATCCCCATGGCTTCCTGGCTAACTACCTTAGCCTGCTTGAAAAGCTCCAGGCCAATTAAAAAAAAACCTTGACTCACCAAACAAGTGATTTGTTTAAAAAGGTAGCTGGTGCATGGAGAACATATCTACATTTTCCCTCTGCCTTCCATACACACACACAGAGAGAGAGAGAGAGAGAGAGAGAGAGAGAGAGAGAGAGAGAGAGAGAGAGAGAGAGAGAGAGAGAGAGAGGAGCACAAA